TAATTCAAGCCTAATGAACTTATGAATTTCTAACTTCTACATACCATGGCGAAACCTGTCAAATCAAGTCTGATTGACCTCAAATTTTGAACACAAGTCATAAATGACACAACAGACCTATTCCAACTTTCGAAACTAAAATCCGAGCCCAGTAACCACAAAGTCAACTCTCGATCAAACTTCTCAATTTTCAAAACTTATAATTTTTCAACTTTCGCCATTTGAAACCAAAATCAACTACGAACCTCCAAATCACTATCCGGACATACTCCTCAATCCAAAATCATCTAATGGAGCTATCAGAACCATCAAAACTCTATTACATAGCCATTTACATATAAGTCAACATCCGGTCAACCTTTTCAAATTAAAGTTCTAACCTTGAGATTAAGAATCTCAACTCGTTCCAAAATATCTCCGGAACCGAACCAACTATCCCGACAAGTCACATAACGACAATTGAGCATAAAATAAGCAGTAAATGGGGGAACGATCCTACAATACTCAAAACGACCGGCGGAATCGTTACATTCCTCCTTTTCAATTGATGTATTTTTTTCGCCTTTTGGAAATCAAACTATATAAACTTTGGCCAATAATTTAAAATATATTTTTTATCATATTGACATGAGAAAATTGCAAGTTATAGTACTTTTTATATATCTGCGGACAAAAATGTCGCACCTGCGACGTCCGCTTCTGCGCAAAAGGGCCGCACCTGCGAAGACCGCATCTACGATGGAAGTCTCACTTCTGCGAGCTCGCACCTCCGGTCAAAATTCCGCAGGTGCGATTACACCAGAACTCAAAATTTCAGATTTTGCTTAAGTCCAATTCTTGTTCCGATTTCGATCCGTTTCACTCTCGGGGTACTCGGGACCCCGCTCGAATATACCAACAAGTCCCGTAACATAATACAAACTGACTCGGGGTCTAAAATCACGTCAAACAACACTGAAATTACAATTCACACCCCGATTTGAACTTTGAGTTTTAAACATTTCAATTTGCAAATCTCGTACCAAAACATATTAAATGAATCCGGAATGACTTCAAATTTGGCACACAAGTCATAAATGACATAACGGAGCTGTTCAAATTTCCAGAATCGGATTCCGGCTCCGATATCAAAAAGTTAATCCCGTGGTCAAACTTGGAATCTTTAGCCTTTAAATTGCTAGTTTCGTTAAATGGTCATAACTTGAGCTAGGGACTTCCAAATTAAATTCCAAGCATATGCCCAAGTCCCAAATCACGATACGGAGCTATCGGAACTGTCAAAACAGTGATCCGGGTCTGTTTGCTAAAAATACTGACCAAAACCAACTTAGTTAAGTTTTAAAGCTTTATTTCATATTTTAATTCATTTTTAACATGAAAACTTTCCGAAAAAAATTTACGGACTGCGCACGCAGGTCGAGGAATGATAAATGGTACTTTTCGAGGTCTTAGAAAATAAAATTACTTATTAAATTTAAAGATGATATTTTGGGTCATCACAACATAGGATAAAATCCCAGCTGCCCAAAATAAGCCTACGTGATCGCGGGCCTTCCCACGCGACCGCGTATAAGAAAACTAGACTTGTAATGCCAGAAAACTTCAGCAGACTTCAGCAATCTTCCAAGTTAAATTCCACTACGATAACTGTCTGAACTCCACCCGAGGCCCCCGGGTCCTCAACCGAACATACCAATCAATCCTAAAATAGAATACGAACTTAGTCGAGGCCTCAAATCACATCAAACAACATCAAAAATATGAATCACCCTCTAATTCAAGCCTAATGAACTTATGAAATTCTAACTTCTACATTCGATGCTGAAAACCTATCAAATCAAGTCTGATTGACCTCAAATTTTGAACACAAGTCATAAATGACACAACAGACCTATTCCAACTTTCGAAACCATTATTTGAGCCCGGTAATCATAAAGTCAACTCTCGGTCAAACTTCTCAATTTTCAAAACTTCTAATTTTTCAACTTTCGCCATTTGAAACCAAAATCAACTACGAACCTTCAAATCATTATCCGGATACACTCCTCAATCCAAAATCATCTAACGGAGCTATCGAAACCATCAAAACTCCATTACAGAGCCATTTACACATAAGTCAATATCCGGTCAACCTTTTTAAATTAAAGTTCCAACCTTGAGATTAAGAATTTCAACTCGTTCCGAAACATCTCCGAAACCGAACCAACTACCCCAATAAGTCACATAACGACAATTGAGCATAAAATAAGCAGTAAATGGGGGAACGATCCTACAACACTCAAAACGACCGGCGGAGTCGTTACATTCCTCCTTTTCAATTGATGTATTTTTTTGGTCTTTTGGGATTCAAACTATATAAACTTTGGCCAATAATTTAAAATATATTTTTCATCATATTGACATGAGAAAATTGCAAGTTATAGTACTTTTTATATATTTTTTGAATATTTAAATTTTAACTTTAAAATATTAAGCTAATCTAATTCAATTTAACTTCAAAGATTAATCAACTATTGACTCTTATTCTCTTAAAAAATAAAAAGTATCACATCAATTAAAACGGAGGGAGTATCCCTCTGCTCCACTTAATTATGTGGCAAAGTTTGAATAAGCACAATGTTTAAGAAAGAAAGGATAATTTTTGAAACTTGTGTCTAAAATAAGTTATAGATATTTGTATGACAATAAATCATCTCATCAAGGTTACAATAAGAAGCTTGAAGTTTAATTATTTCCAAAATTAGAAAGTTGACGTTGTTCTGGGAACAAAGTAAAAAGGAAATGTTGCTAGTTAAAATGAAAAGAAGGGAATATGCATTATTATTCATGCATAATAATCTTCAGATTTTAATCTTTAATAACTAATTAATCTGTTAACTACAGATCTCTTACGCTATTTTTGACGATCGAAGGACAAGGGACCACGTACGATGCCAATTATAAATGAAATAACAACCCTAAAAAGCTGTAACGCAAAGATTTTTCATTAGGTTTGGCCCCTCTTTATTAAGATGGTGTTGCAACTTGCTCTTTCCTAATAAATTGTAAATATAACACAAGGAAAATGAGCACCTCTTTTGGCTTCTTAATTACCCTACTTGGATTCTGGGTCGACACAGGTCTAATACATTTTTATGATCACGTAGTACAGATGCTGAGCTAGAATTTCAAGTTTATGAATTCAATTTTCTAAGCCTTTTAAGTTACTGGATTTTAAATTATTATTTATAACTAATTAATAATTTTTCAAGACAAATATAGGGTTTGAACCAAAGCTACGAAGTTCGCCGAACCCGAATGCTGGCTCCGCCCCTGGTCCTCAACATAATTTATGTAGGAAGTATTAAATCATACTATGTGAGGGAAGAATGAAATTTCAAAATTGTATAATAAACAAAATTTTACATAAGAAATATAAATGTATTCATGAGAAGCAACCACCGCGACTAAATCGGAAAAGAAAATTGCGAAAAACACTCCTTTTAAAATAAAAACCAGTTACCCAGGCTTTCATCTCCTTATGGGTTTGGGGGGGGGGGGGGGG